CGAGCGGCAAACGACTTTACGAGATTTCTTCGGGATCACGTTCAAGTACGCAGATCCCCTTTCACATAAAGACGCCCATTTTATTACGGGTTCAAATGCGTTCGGCAAAGAGCATAAATTGTTCCTCAAAGAGATTACGTGCTTCAAGGGAAAATAAATATAAAGGGAAAAGAAATATTGCGCGACACTCTTTAATATTGGAGAAAATCTAGCACGAAATTTGAAATTAATCCCGCTTTGTAATTATAGAAAAATATTAATGCATTATGATCAACGGAAATAATATTATACAATAAATATGTTCGACAATCAAAAATGAGCAGTTATTGGATGACTGCACAGAATAACTCATGATAATAATTTTACACATCATTGTTACGCACACGCAGATAAGAATATAATGAATCATTTCAAATCTGAGAAATTATTTTGAGATCGTCGGAAACTTTTCGCGCGACTTTGGGACGACTCGTTTGAAAAATAGTCGAAACTTGTTCGCGTAGGAGCGTAATAATAAAGAAAGACTATTACCATCTCTCGCGCTAGTCGCTAAAAAAAGCGTCGTATCATTCAAATATGGGCTCGCATTAAATTCCCATCTCGCCGATGCCAGCCGCCCGTATATCACTCCGCATCAGGAAAAAAAGACGTGCTACCGACGTCGGATTCGAGCCATTACGTGTAAAAAGTGGCGTCTGGGCGGTTTTCACCGCTGCCATATGTCACTATATCGACCGCGATCGCAGTTTCGCTCGTATGTTAATAAAAAGGCACGCACCCGGAGAGCCATTGTGTCGGATCGGCTTTATCGTACAATGGCCGGATGACTTACGATCGATCCATCGCGCGGGGGAGGATGCGAAAAAAAATCTTGTTTCTACTTTTTCCCCTCTCGAACGAGCGATAAAGTTCGTTCGCGTCGATGCCTTTCCTCTATTTTACACAGGAATCGTAAATTCGTATTATTTGCGAACTTATACATCGAGCGTACGCGAAAAAAATTCCTGTAATAAATGCAAACCGGTGTATGGGAGGTGGAAGGAGGGAGGGAGTGCGTGTAATTTACGATTGATCGATCGTTATATATATTCGTGAGAAAGATATATAGGTATATGAAAAAAAGCCTCAATTTTTCTTATGTATTTTTTGCATCGGAAGCGGAAACGATAAAGCCAGATCGATGTTCCTCTCTCATCTCTACAAAATCGTAAACTCGAATTGTTCGCAAAGTAATACCGAGCGCGATTGCGAAATGAGATCGAACGAAGGAATGGAGTAGATAAAAGAAAACTTATCAAAAGCGTGTCGCCAACTTTGTATATACTTCGCTCATTCACTTGCGCGAATGGACTCAACAAGATTGTAGGGAAGAAAGAGATAAAGAAAAAAAAATGCAATAAAAACTTGCAATGGAGTTTCCTTTTATTATCGGAAATATAAAACGCCGTTGCAATAAACTCATAAACATGTATATCGCGCAATGTATAATTCATGCATTCATGTATATGTACACATGTGTCGCCAGTAATTAAATTGAATAAAAAATTGATAGCACATAATAGAACAATGATTATTATTTATGAAATACATTGCTTGAAACACATCAATTATTCATCGATAAGTAGAAGCATTATTCTCATCATTAATAGTTATTAACTAAACAAGCATTAATATTTGTTTTATAAATGCAACGTTTTCTGAATTACAACATGAATATTTTATCTTCGCGTCGGTTTTGAGAGAAAAATTTAAACTAGAGCTTACACTTAAACTTTGAAGCCGTAAATTTTATTTCCTAATCCATTTACATAATTGCCCCAACGAGTTAAGGTATCAACAACGTATTAAAAAAAGAAATATCTTCATTATGCAAAAAGAGAAGAGTCCAGCATCGAATGAAGTACTTTCGGACGAAAGGCAGGATAATTGAACCAGCCGTAATCCGTCGCATTACAATCCTAGAACTTGGTCTCGCGAGGGTTAATCGACCTGCATACAAAATCGCGAGCGATGCTACGAGCAATTTGCCGTTTTTCTCAGAGACGCGCGAAGAGAGTTCGTTCTAATTTACAGGAACGCCCGCGCGACAATCAAAGTACCGAGTGAGAGAGAAAAAGAGAGTACGCTTCGGGCGAAAGGAGGGAAATGTACTTTGCCCGCCGCTTTGTTGACGGAGATTTGCTTTGGCTCCGACGACGGCGATCAATTTGGCGCGAAATTACGCTTTTCTGAAGAACACATTTTGCACATTGCACGACAATCTTTTACGTTACGCCGCCGAGAACTCGTTCAGCAAACCGTCCGTTCGCTTTTTTCACCCACACGGAGTATTCCGCGAATATTACTACTACTATACATATACGCGCTTCGCGTTGTTTCCGTAACGTTTCCTCCTCTCGGTATTAATATTTTTCAGTTGCGAACACATAATGAAGCGGGAAATTGCGTGCACTGACTATTCCCCCGCGATATGCAAGTGGCGATAAAGTGAAAAAAATTCAACTTTGAAATTGCAACTTGGAAATTTTAGAAAGAAAGAGAAAATAAAGGGGGACTTCGCAGAGGAAACGTAAATGTGTAATAAAATTTTCTTGTTCATTTAATTTCAAATTGACTTGAGCGTCATAAAATTTTTATTCGAGATGCCGTACCTACCAAATAACTGAAACTGTTTGATCTTGGGAATTTAAAAAAAAAATTACAAAAGAATATGACGAGAGATCAATCGAATTTTCGTTAAAGTAAAATTGACTCTAAATTGATCAAAGGATATTACACGCGTTTTGACTCAGTAATCTTGTTATATCCTGTATACTTTATAATGAACGAGTACTATACAGGCAATATTCGTTTATTATATTATTTCGTAGCTCGCCCATAGAGAATTTAAATTAAAAATTTAATTTAATCAGAATGTACGCGCGAACATAAAGTTATTGTAGCACTATGAAAAATTGGTTAAAAACAGGAACCTTGTGCTGTAACCATTAATGTACATACACACACATACATGCATATGCATTATTGGGTTTTTTTTTTCATTACTTTCTATCAACACTATGTCTATACATATTTTCGAGGGCCAAGAGTATTATCAACAACGTTTATCAACATCAGACATGTTGAATTTGGGGTAGCTTGGGGTAGCTGTCAAATGTTGTGGGGTGTGGTCTTTTTTTGGATAGTTCTGCATTTCATGTTCAGATTATTTTACCCGAATTGCATTAAATTAATAAATAAAAACGTAGATATTTGAGAATCGCCAGACAGAATTTAAAAAAAAGTACGACTATTCTCTCGACCGTACTGGCAAATATTATTTATTAAATCACAACGTTTCGACCCTTCTTTGAGTCCTTATCAAGTGATTTGTGAAAATAAAAATAAAATTATAATTTTAAAATGTCAAGAACGAACATAGTGTCGGTTTGACAACACGTCAAGACTCTTAGACGAGTTATGAGAGACTGAAGGGTCGAAACGTTGTGATTTAATAAATAATATTTGCCAGTGCGGTCGTGAGAATAGTCGTACTTTTTTTTTTAAATTAATAAAGTTAACGTCTTTTTAACCAGCGTTTCCCTATTTGTTCGAGCATGCGAGAGTACGCAATTCGATTGTAAAAATTGATTCGCGGACGCAACAATGTATGTATATATATTTTATGCATCCGAAAAATGAACAAATTCAAATTACTCATAAAAATTTCTCAATTTGCTTCATGAAAAAATTAACCATAACAAGATTGAATTCGATTTAATTTCGGAAAGATTATTTTTTAATGTGTATGTAAAAATATGTATGTAATCATATTCATACATAAAGAAATGCAAATTAAAACTAAAAGATTCTGTTTAAGCGAAATAAAAAATTTGAGTTTATGTAAATTGAAAATGAATTTGAATTTACGCGTCGAAATTAAAAAAAAAAGAATCCAAAATTATCCCGAGTTTAAATTTCTGCTGCTCGCAGCGATGCAAATTTCGCGCAGGATTTCGAACATGTGGCGGTCGAAATTTCCCAGATCGTTCGTCTCGTTCGAGAGAGGATGAAATTCTCTCGAAAGTTGAGCGTTCTCGGGTCCGTCGTGCAAAACGACGAATATTACTAATCGCGTCCGGGATTGGCCTCCGGGCCTGACTTTATCATTACGGAAGAAAACAAGATTTTCTCTCGACAACGCGCTTTCCTTGCCGTCTCCTCGTACGCGGACACTATCACTTTACGCGAAAATCAGATTCTACCGTGAAAGCAGCTTACCGGCGAGATCGGAGTGTATACGCGTGTATCTATCAAATCAATTTCATCGCGTGTAGGTGTATATAGGGCGTTTCGCCCTTTCCCGTTAACGACAGATCCGTTGGCGAGACTGAAGCCGATTTTTCCTGCAGGAAAACGTGACGCGAAATTCAACTACGACATCAGAGGATTTACACTTAACATATGCAAATTTCAAATATTTTAGCGAAACATGCCTCGAGCGTAAATAAATTTGTTTCAAGATCATTTGAAAGAGAGATCGAATCAATATTAAAAATTCACACTTTTTTTATATTTTATAAAATAGCACACTCTCGTTGAAATTTTCTCGTATTTCAGAGTTCACTTTTTTTTCAATTTAATTAAGTATGCAACTTTTCTAATATCGCAATTAGGGTATCAAGTTTTATACAGATTGAGTTTCAACAAAAGGGGTCATGTCAATATTTAAAAACTATATATATATATACTTTCTAGTTTCCTGCGAAATTATGTCTTCTCTCTTTTCTATTCAAGGCCTTCGTATATACATATTAATTTGACGTCGAACGCAAAAACTGAAATATACCTACAGCCAAAGGTATAGTTCCATCGCCATTCTGATTTCTCGCAGTGAAGGCAAATTCCTCATAGAGGTCAAACACACGAGGTCATTTCGCGCAAACGCGTACGCATACATAGTGCAATGTATACACCTCGGGGAAGTTGGCTCGTGCGGAGGAAGCGAAGGGATACTTTACCGGATCGTCGTTGATGGTCCAATGTAGATTGGCCTTAGGCACGGACGGCCAGGCACTGCAGTTGGCAGTCACGTTCTCGCTGACGGCGTAGTGCAGGGACAGGCCTCTGATTTCCGGTCCCCTCTCCGGAAGCACTGCGAACGTAAATTTTCCGTGTGAGAACGTGGCGAAAGTTTCCCCATAAACCAGTTACTTTGCTCCGGTTAGACTCTATAAACTTTCGACTATTACCCGGAGTTCTCCGCGCCCGAGCTGTTCGTTCGTTCGTTCGTTCTATCCTCGTCGAGGAAATGGAACAAGGGGCGAAAGAGTCGGCAGAGAGAGGGTTTTCTCGCACTTTGCAAGAGACGCGGACTCGCGGAAACGCGACGCGACATGAATTTTCCGAGTGTGTGTCAACGTTTCCTCTCTCTCTCCACTAGATGTTTTCTTGCGCGACGAGTTGCATTAAGCCTTTATTAACTTCGTGCATTCATGAAGGAAAGATTCTGAGCAAAAGTCAAAACTATTTAATGATCAAAATCAAGAAAATCAAAATGAAATATACATGTTTGTAACGTGGATACCCTTGAGGAACGAATAATAATGCGATATATAGAAATGACCCACGTATTCGCTAATAATTTCTAAATGATTAAAATAATTCTCATAAATTTTTGCGTGATGGATTGCGAGCTGTTAATGGCGAGACGGATGAGAGAGCAAAAAGAAAACGAATAAATCAAATTCCGACGTATAAATCAAATTCAGAGTACGTAATTCAGCGAGTTTGTACACGTCGATGATGAATAGTAAATGATGATGTGTTGCGTCGAATGTTACTTTCTCGTTTATCTGTGTACGTGGAAAATCTCGACCGGGACGTTCCACTTTTATCTGTTCTCGCTCGCTGCTTTTTCCTCGTGCGATCCCGACGATTTAAATCCCCGTTCGGTTTGCTGAAACAATTTCCGGCCGACCGGCGACGAACCTGGGGTAAGTTTTGCACGTTTTCGCGACTGCGTCGCTCAGCATACAGGGAATTAATTTTCAATTAGCTCGGGCACGTGACATTCCTCGTTCGCGATTAAACGAGGAAGCGCGTCGGGTCTCCACGTAGAGAGATATCGACTCTCGCGGCTACTTTCCATTAACGATAAACGCGCGAGTCGTGCAATGAACAACTGCGTATTTTCGGTATATAAAAGAATGATTGTGCCGGATTGGAAAATCGAAAGCAATAATTGGTACAAGAGAGCGCATATTCTAGAGTCACTTTACATAACGAATAAAATTACGAGCAGGATCAATTGAAATGGGCGCGATCGTCGAAGCGAAGAATTAATAAATTTTCGCGACACAGAATAGCGCGAGTGTTTATACTGGGATACAATAGCCAAGAGCTATAATTCTCCGGGTAATTAATTGCTCGGTGGACTAATAATTAGATCAAACGTGGCGACTGTGTTATGCTTTCGAAGTGTAACATGATTTGTATCGCATGATTTGTAAATGAAGCTTGCATATAGTATATTATATTCGAAGGACAACATATTTAATAGAATTTCCTAAATGTCAAAGTTGCGTTTTTTTTTTTTTAAATAAATAACCCTGTCCGTATTTTTTTGCAAAATAGTATTACCTTAAAATAATATACTTTCCATCATTCGATGTACATATATTATACGACTATTTTTCGTATAACATTCAGTTTTTATTTTTACAGCAATCTTTTTCGAAATGTTGTCAACAATTCTCGCATTCGCTGACATAAGCGATTTGCCACCGCAATTGCGAACCTCCCGATTTTTCGCGGCTCTCTCTATATGGACTGCCGCACATGTGCGTCGATCCACAATCAATTACCGGATCAGCCGTGTGTGCTGGCGCGCTCGATGTCTCTAATAGCGTTAATTGGCACGCCGGATTATGAGAGACATTCGCGTTCGGACGGGCGCGACCGAATGCTCAATTAAACATTCACTTCCCGCCGCGCCGCGTCGTTGTTCGAGATCGCGCATTGCAACATTGGTGCAGCTCCACCTCGGGATACGGTCCATTAATGCCTTCCGTCCTCGAAATATCCTGGGTGCAATTAAAACCGAGAATTTCCGACTCGGGAATCTCCCTTGGTCGGCGCCATCGGCGTCGCCGTCGATTTCGCCGCCTGTCCTCGGTAAAACGCGAACGAGCAGAAAGTAGGAGATGTAAAAGGCATTCGGGAGCACCGTATGGAGGAGGACAAGTGTCGGAAAATTTTCGAGAGACTGCGGAAAAGCATGCTGCGCGAATAATCGAGACGCGCGTTTCGCGAACATGTGCTATCATGGGTAATTTTGTCGCGCATTAAGCTTGTAATAGCGCCGATTATTTCGTGGAGATTTTCGCTTCCTTCTGCGGAATTTCGTTCTCGTGCGAGCACTTATCAATGAGAGTCCTCGAATTTTGTTAGGGGAAAAAGAAGAAATAAAATAATTAAGCGACAAACATGTCGCTGAGATATTATATTCAATAAATAGGATCGGCAGCATTATGAATCATCACAGAAGAGAAAAATTTTATTTTAATTAATATCATGTTCGAAAAAACTCATAAAATGAACTGCAGTAAGAAGTTTTTTAAAGAGAATTAAAATACGAATGAAAACAAAGTAAAAGTAAATTAATACAATTGTCGCTCGTATATTGAAAACAAAGTGATAAATATAAGGCCAACTTATCGAGCTGAATATTCGAGATGTTCAGTCAACTACCATTTATTACATGTATAAATTATAAACTACAGTCATTATATTAAAACTAACGCAAATTACAATCATTCTATAAACGTTTCGACCGCACGCGGTCTTCTTCAGTATAATTATTGAAATATAATTCTTACAATTCACATATATCGAAATTTAATTATAGTTATTCAGAATCAAGAGTTTTTGAGTAATTAACGCGTGTTTCAATCCGTCCTGTCCAACAATGTTCGCCTCGATATGATCCCTGATTTTGTTCAGATCTCGGATAGTTTCATCGTTAATATGCGAGAAATTAACCCGTTCCGTAGGCGCTATCATCGTTCTTCTTGATAATTTTGCTACTTATTAACAGTTATTAAGGATGACACATAACAAACCAACAATACAGAAAGACAGCTCATTTTAAACTCATTTTAGAGAGTTTAAAATGAGCTGTCTTTCTGTATTGTTGGTTTGTTATGTGTCATCCTTAATAACTGTTAATAAGTAGCAAAATTATCAAGAAGAACGATGATAGCGCCTACGGAACGGGTTAATTTCTCGCATATTAACGATGAAACTATCCGAGATCTGAACAAAATCAGGGATCATATCGAGGCGAACATTGTTGGACAGGACGGATTGAAACACGCGTTAATTACTCAAAAACTCTTGATTCTGAATAACTATAATTAAATTTCGATATTATGTGAATTGTAAGAATTTATATTTCAATAATTATACTGAAGAAGACCGCGTGCGGTCGAAACGTTTATAGAATGATTGTAATTTGCGTTAGTTTTAATATAATGACTGTAGTTTATAATTTATACATGTAATAAATGGTAGTTGACTGAACATCTCGAATATTCAGCTCGATAAGTTGGCCTTATATTTATCAAAGTAAAAGTAATTGCTCTATTATTTATTTGATAAAAAATTCAACAAATTTATTACAAAGCTAATTAGAATTTCCAGTAATAATGGTTATTCCGACATGTATGTATGTCATGTAAATAATTCATTTGATATATTCGTTTATATGGCATATTCGACATTGTCTTCTTTGACTCTGTGGAGGATTGCATTTTTTTTTTTTTTTGAAGTTTTAAACGAAAGTAGCCGCATCATCGATTTTCGGAGAATCAAAAATGACACGCTTACTCAGGATGCACGGAGTGAAATCAGAAAGGCGGGGACAGGGGAAGATGGGAGGGAAGAAGAAATTTGTCAGGATTGCGGAAAGTTGGATAACCTGACGCTCTGCCAGAATTCGAGCATTCGCCATGCTAGCGCATTCGGCCGCGCGGAAAGTATTCCGCTGCAATAACTCCGCCGACAGTGATTTAAGCGCGTAATTACGAGGGTTATTGCAAGCACGGTGGCGCTTTATATTTCTCTCTTTCTTTTTTGTAGAATTTAATATGCATAACGGCGAAATCTTGTGCGCACGTCCTTGCACGAGCTGCACGATCGATTATATAGACAGGCCACTAATATGTAATCATTTAATAAATAATTAATTAAATATAATAAAAATGAAACGTTAAAGTAGATCATACGAGAGAAATGTATTTTCTCTTTTAATAAAAAAATAATTTTACACGGTTTGACTTTACGTATTCTTATGGCAAATCTTGTTTTCTTTTACAGACAATCTGTTGGATTGTAAAGTGGCACAACGACATATTCAAAGCTGCAACAAGCTATAGTTATGCGATGAGAGACTCAAGGGTTTTTGCATCACGGTGAGTCGAAAAATCTGACTTTCTGCCAAAATTTGCTTTCGCGGCTCTCATGTAGTAATTCCGGTATTACGTCATTCCAAATATTTTTCTGACGTAATAATTTCTGCGAGAGTTAGATTCCTAATTGAGAGGGTTGTCGAGAGAAGATAGCCTGCTTTCATATTCCGCGGTAACTTCACGTACAAAATGAAATTGCTTTTTGAAGGCACTGCAATTTATACGGATTGCGAGCTTCGCGGCGTCTCTATAAGGCATGAAATGAATATTAAACTGCGAGCGATTTAATCCAATTAATTCGTCGACGTACACCACTGTCAGAGCGTAAATCCGTGTGAATGCATATGAAGAAAAATATTGGGAAATTCTATCAATAAGGATAATTTATTCGAGGTGTTGATTTACACTCATTTTATAATATGTAAAAGTTTGTATTAAGACTTGAATATAAATTTTCTTTCTGCTCAATTGAAAATATTGATGTAGTTGAAAAATTTGTCGCGTAATTTAATTCGCATAAAAAAATATGATATTTTTTTCTTATATAATATTTTAGTCGCGCTTCTCTCAATATTCTTACATCTAGATCGCTAAAGTAAGATCGAAAGATTAGCGTTATATTAAAATATATGTATATATCAAATTGTCATAATCATTTAGAGAGCCCGTATTGTGTTTTGGACGC